CATATTCAGTTCCCTAATTACTTCCTCCATTATTCTTTTCGTTCTAAAGCTGGTTTCTGCGCCTGTATCCATCATTCTGTCGCTTCTTCCCGACTTTCACACTTAGACTTCTCTAATCGTGAATTTCAGCTTATGCGGCTGAAACCTCAATTCACTTCTTTCAACCACTATTTTTGTACCGTTTACCGCTCCCCGAGCAGCAATGATTCTTCTATTTTGGATGTTCTGTTTTCCAACAATGAGAAACTAATGTCGGCAGATTCTAACAGACAAATTACCATTGCCGGAGATTTTAATGTCCATAAAAAGGAATGGCTGAATCACTCCTCAGACACTACCTTCATAGGATGCGAAGCCGAGGCTTTTGCTGTTGTCAACAACCTAAGTCAACTAGTTGACCTCCCCACATGCATCCCTGATCGTATTGGTGACCGCGCCCACACCCTTGACCTCAGTTTCACATCCATTCCCTCTTCTTTCTCCAACATCATTTCCCTTTCCCCATTAGACTTATCGGACCATTGTCTCATTTCTCTCACTCCATTTCCCCACCAAACTCCAGAGACACCTTTTGACGTTACGATCAACCAACTGGGACGGTTCTCGTGACTTTCTGGCTTGTTATCCCTGGAAGGATTGTTGTTTTAAGTCGGATGTTTCCAAGTCTGTTTCAAACTTCATTGAGATTGTTCTTCAAGGCGTGTATTTTTATATTCTACCTTTCACCAAACCCGGCAAATCACGTTTCTCTGAGTGATTTAATCATGCTTGTGACAGTGCTGTACGTTTTAAGAACTCAGCATTCCGTCGTTGGCGCCACTCACCCAACCCAACATCTCGTAACCGCTTCGTGCAAGCCAGAAACAAATGCTCGGGCACTATTCAGAGAGCTAAAGAACGCTTTATTTGTCACAAAACTGCGCGCTTGGCTTCTTCGCCACCGGTAACCGAACATTCTGGTCCTTCGCTAAAGCGGTTTCACGTAAGTTCTGTCTTTTCAACTTTCCTTTCTTTTGCAATTCCTCCTCACTCTTTTCTATCTATCATAACAACCAGAAAAGTCCGCCAAGCTCTTCACGGTTTGGATGTTTGTAAACCATCCGGTCCGGACGGTATTCCACCTGTCGTTCTAAATATGTGTGCACCGGAGTTAGCCCCTGTTCTACGCCGCTTTTGTTATTCACTCAAACCCTACTCCATGGAAAAATGCCATTATGTTTCCAATCCCAAAGCGCGGCAACCCTTCCGACCTCAAAAACTAACGTCCATTACTCTTACATTTGTAATCTCGAAAGTGTTTGAAACCATTATCTCCGACCCGCTGAGTACGTTTCTCGAACGCAAAGGTTTTTCAAATGACCATCAGTATGGATTTCGTCCTCGTCGATCTAGGGGTGAATTACTGGCTCTCACATCACATTCCTGGTCGGCTGCACTCGATAACCACCGAGAAACTCACATGGTCTCGCTCGACATTTCAAAGGCCCTCGACAGCGTTTGGCATGAAGGTCTACTGTCGAAATTACCCACGTTCGGATTCCACCCGTCTCTTTTATCGTGGCTTCGTTGTTTCCTCAGCAACCGAACCATCTCCGTCCGAGTAGATGGGGTCCTATCTCAGGCATTTCATGTAAACGCCGGCAGTCCCCAAAGTTCCATACTTTCGCCCACCCTCTTTCTTTTATTTATCAACGATCTTCTATCCCAAATATCTAATTCCATCCACTGCTTTGTTGATTATACCACTCCATTGTTCTCTTTCTTACCCCACAATCCGTCAAGCTAAAACCAACATCGATCACGGTCGTAATGTCATTATTGATTCTCTTGCCTCCGACCTCGGATTAATCTCCGCATGGGGTTCTACCAACCATGTGTGTTTCAATGCTTCCAAGACTTCTCTCCTCTCAGTCTCTCGTAAGCATGTTTCCTCTTCTTCTCAATTGATTTCTGATTCTCCGCCCCTTTTTCCCACAAG